TGGAAACTGGTGGGCTAGGGTATTTGGATCTGCCCACCTGGCCGGAGACGATCTAGAGAGTCTCACTATAAAAAGAGAAGATCAACACAGCGCCCACCAACCCAAGCACGTATAGTCAGCCGCAGCCAGTTCCGGGATGTGGCATCACATGAGATGCAAGAATCACCTGGGGAGAATGGCTAACAGCCATTCACAGATTCCGGGCCTTGTCCACGGAGGCTTGGAACCGGCACGTCCAGGCTGGGAACTGCCACCGTCTGCAGCCTGCGATTGCTGCTGCCCAGGCCCTATGAACTGTGCTTGGAGACGCGCTGTACCACAGCGTCATGCAGCTCAGCCTCATCCTGCATCCTCTCTGGGCCTCAGTTTCCCCATCTGTTCAAGGAGTGTGCTGAATGAATGCCTCTCTGAGGATCACCTGCTCCCCAGGCCTCCGAGCCCCCCGGCCCCGACCCCCTGAGGAAGACGGTAGCTAGATCCCCATTTGTCCCCCGGGCCCCTCTGGAAATGCCTATCCTGAAACTCCACCTGCAAATATCTTAGCACATCGTTGACAGCTTTTTAAATTTAGGAAACGAATGCAAAGGGGGAAAAAGTCAACTAGAAGCTGAGAAGAGGGGAAGGGCCATTCGGAGATGCTCCAGCTGCTGCTTTGGGACTCGAGGAGCCTCCTAGGGTTTATAAGCAAAGGAGGTTCCTAATGTGTGTGAGAAAAATGTGAAGGAAACATTCACAGAGGGAGGAAGGTGAAGCTGAGGGGCTAATCAAAGAGGCTGCCTTTCCCAGGAGCTACCAGTAATGCTGGAACTTGAAGCAATGGGTGGAAGTTACTTGAGACAGAATTTAGCCCAATATCAGAAATAAGACACTAAAAGTCAGAGAAGCCCAACAATGTAATGGGCTTCCTCTTCTGCCACTGTCCACGCTTTTACTTGTTATACCAAATAACATTATCTTAACTGACACAGCAATAAATCAGAGGAAGAAATGAGAGTAAGCAAGAAAGAATTACCTACTGATTTGCACCTTGGTGCTGGAAATGACCTTTTTTGGATTTTATGCAGTCAGTTTTCTTTCATTTAACTTTATTTTACTGTGATCAGAAACTTCACATGAGATCTACCTCCTAGCAACACGCTTGAGTGTATGGTCAGTATTGACTACAGGGTCAGCGTTGAAGAAATGACTTCTCTAGGAGCCGTGAGTGGCCCTTGTTCAGTACTCCCTGGATGGAGACGCATTCCACGTGCAGCATCTATGCTGTGCCAGGCCCTGAGAACTCAGCAGTGGCAAGACAGACTCAGTGCTCATCCTCACTGAGCTGAAGACCAAGTAAGGGAGAAGGAAGTGACAGGCCATCATCAGCGGTGCAAGTTCTAGGAAGAAATGTAGAGGGAGCAATGAGGGCGTGAGACAGAGGACTTCACCTGGACTAGAGCTCATCCCTCTAAAGGTTACACTTGAGCTGAGCCTTCAAGGTCTCCAGGTAGGTGAAAGAAGGTGCTAGAACATTCCAGCAAGGGACCCTTCCTATTTTCAGTTTCCCCACCTGTGTGCTCACTGGTCAGGGGAGTTGAAAGAGACAATCCTGGGTATTGGAGGAACAGACTGTGTTTTCTAAGCTTAACGTTCAAGAATGTTCAGGGATCCAAACAGTCTTTCTCTCTACAATGTCCTCCAAAGCTTCCCCCATTAGCAGCAAGTGACCTCAAGAAAATGTCCCCAGAAGGCACCGTTTGCCAAAAGACAGGACAGACGGTAGCTCCTAGAATGGAGGCAGGCAGACAAGCAGCAGAGAGAGGCTGGAAGAAGCAGGGGTGGAGGGAAGGCCTGGAGCAGGGGCTGCAGCAGGGACCTCTGCCTTCTATGGGCAGCCTAGGGGGACAGCCTCGTTTCTCAGCTTCAACCCTGGCTCCTAAAACATTATTTATTTAAAAATCAGCTAAAAATATGAACAAAGACCACATGTGTATTTGGAAGTAAGAAATAAAAAAGCCGTGGGCCTGCCAGGCAGAGGCTGGGGAGCGTTTCTCTGTTTCACTGTTGCTTTTGTTGTAACAGGCGACGTTCGCGCCCACAGGAGTGAGTGTGGAGGCTCACACAACACATCTGAAAAGGCGCGTCCAATGCTTCCCGTGCTTTCATCATTCACAACTTTCATCAGATCTGAATACTACCTGAATTATGATTCTTAGGGAATGTTTTCCTTTAAATCAACCCATTTTTAAAGCTCACTGCTTACTGAAATTTCTTAAATAATATATATAAAAACACATTTCTGATGCACCCATTGTATTTTTGTTTCAGTTGTTCCAAGGACCCCCTGAGAAGACCTCATCTAACTCCTGCTACATGGACTTTAATTTGGAAAATGCTGGCAGCTCTTCCCTATTCGCCTCTTTTTCTCCCTGCACACAGAAATACAAGCTCCCTGGGGCCCCAGGAGAGTCCGCCTGAGCCCAGGTTATGGCAGAGGAAGCAGGAAAGGCACGCAGTCACCCTTGCACAGGCTCACACCCCGCCTCCCCCCACGCCCCGTCACCTGGTGAGGCTGAACTCAAGACCCAGCCTGCACAGTGAGAAAGGCCCCACCTCTCCTCCGTGTCTGCATCAGGCCTCCAGAGAGCATCCTCTCACCAAGCCAGCATTCAGTGAAGGTTTCCTGGCTTCGTTTTCTTTCTTTTTTCTTTAAATTAGAGACAAAGTATGGGTTTGAACTCCTGGGCTCATGCAGTCATCCTGCCTCCCTCCCAAAGCACTAGGATTACAAATGTGAGCCACCGCACCCCCAGCTTTTGTATCTGGTCATGCTCTAAAGAAAGCGGCCACACAAAAAATATCTTACAAGTTCCACTTAACCACGACACACAAGAAATTGTCCACAGTGGGACACGAAGCCCGAGTTCATGGCTCTTTCTGCCACCCAGGTTGTTGGGGGGTGAAATGAGTGAATACATGTTCTGGAATTAGAACCAGAGCAGAGTCAACAAGGATTGGTGCAGAGTCGGGGCTCAACACGGGCATGCGGCTATTACGGCCAGCTCAGCCCCAACAGCCCGTCAGAGGGGCACCCTCAAAGCAAGCCACGTGGTGTTCTTATTAGAAAAGATACCTAGTGAAGAATGGGAAGCTTGGAATCATTAACACAGGAGAGATAAACCCAAGTGGCCTCTCGACAGCTGGACCAACCATGCAGCAGGAATACACTGGGACAGCTCCTTCAGTCTTCACAGCAGCTCCATGGAAAGGTGCTTCTAGTGACTCATTTTACAGGTAAGACTTTTCAGAGGAAGTCGCTGCCCACAGAACGGGTCAGTGCCGGGAGTGGAACCCAGGCCTTCTGGCCCCAGAGCTCATGCTGTGGACAGACTCTGCTCAACCTGAAGATGGACGGAAGAGTCAAGAAGTCTGCTGGGGGCTGCGGAGAACTGGAGATGGAAGCCCAGCACCACCACCACTTAGCTCCAGCCAGCCAGAGAAGTCAGGAGATACTTCTCAAGAAAAACTGCAAATCTGTGAATATCTCCTATTTTTCAATGTTGACAGCTAATTTTAAAATGTTAGCCCCATGCCTGTCCAACTGAACACAGCCACAGGCCAGAATCAGCACAAAGGCCGCTCATGTGTGACCTCAGCGTACAGATTAAACTTGTCCAGTAGCTTTAATTTCCCGCTGATCCCATCACAGTCTCCCTTCCCAGGTCTGTCATCTGTGACCATCCTAGCCATCAGGACCCCAGCACCTGCACCAGCCCTGTCCTCCCACGAGATCACTGCAGTGCAGTTGCCAGAGCTTTCAGGGTGCCTGTACTCCAAATAGAAGCCGCTCCCTGGAAACCCAGAAAAAGCCACCGCAGAGACACTCACCCTTCCCAAATCCAAGGGGCAACCCAGGAGCACATACTAGTCTCCCGTCCTCTCCCCTGCCACCAAACCCATGCGAGCCCGTGGTTGTTTTTCACTTTGTAAAAATAAATAAGTCTGGGATGTTTATGAAGCTGTTGAAACTCAGGAACAGCTCAAATTAAGAGTTTGTAAACCACGACCATGGGTTTAGGGCCTTATAACCATTGCTCAAAATTCTGGTTTCCACAAAGCCCAAAACGCATCCTCCCACGTTTCTGCCTTGCTAAGATTTTGTTTATTTTTATTGGAACATAGTCCATATTGTCCTAGAATCATGTACAATGAACTCATCACAGAAGGCCATCTGATGTCCAAAACGCCTTAGAGCTTCATACAAGGCCTGCATTAAGCTTTGTTCCTCCCTAGAGATCATAATTTTCATTTTGCCTAGGAGAAAGGAACTTGAAAGGTCTGAGCTGGTTTGGATGACAGAGAACAATTTCCCAGAAAATTCGCAATGTGGCCCAGATGTGCACTGCCTGAAGCCTAGATCCCAGAGAGCAGGTTGCACTTCACCAAATAAAAGCAAACAAACGCAAGTTGAGTCTGGTTTTCCTTCTGCATCTCTGTGCACTGCCCACGGCATCACTTCAGCCACAGACGTGCACCACTTGCCGGACAGTTCTAGCCACGGCCCAGCCCCTCTCCATGAACATGAGCGAACCAAAGCCCGGCGTGAGTGTTGGTGGGCAGCCCCCCTGCTCACCGTCAACATCCCAGAGCCAGAAATAACACCGCAGGAGCCATGCCATCAATTTCCTTCCCACCAGTGCCACGGCCCTATCCAACACCCAGCGTGACATCAGTGAGTCTGTTTTTTAGAAAGGTTTTTTTTTTTCCTCCTTTACAAGATTAAGTATTTTGATCTCACATCTCTATAAAGAGATGTTATAACTTCAGCCTCCAGGACAAGTCTCTGCTTAGCAATCTCCCAGCCTGTATTCCTCCCTCTCCACCCTGCAAGCCATTGTTAACATTCTCACACATTCTACAATTGATGAGAGCCTGAGGTTCACATCTGCCAGTTACCAGAGAAGCAGATACTCCCTGACAATGAAATGCATATGAAGATGCCACAGGGATCAGCCACTCACCTTCAGGGCCACACTGCTCTGGCTTGCTAATGCAGGAGCTATTGTACCTGCCGTAATAGAGAAGCGTGACTCCCTTTTCCTCTTTCAGGTAAATGCCTTTGTTGACCTTCCCTTCCACAATATCTAAGGAAGAAAAATGACAACATCGCATGTTAATAACCTTCTGAGATTAAAAGTCTGAAGATGTGTGTCAGACCTACAAATAACTTATGTGTAAGTATGCAGTATTATTTTCTAATTATATATTTATAACATCATATATTATTCTATATGAATATTCATAGCTTCAGTAATCTTTAATTATTAGTAATTAAATTCTAAATAATGTATATGTTAAACATTAATATTGAATTATATTCACATATTTGTATATACTATGCACATATTATATACAAACGCATACAGACCTTTGCATCTGCATTTCACATTGCATATCATGTCGTATGATGATGTGATAATTGCGATATTTGCCAACAGATGGGTTACCAAGCTTGGTGTGATAACAGCCTCCTCTCTTGGACTTTGCACCGACCTGCTTTTTGAGCCCTCTCCACTCCCATCCTCATGCTGAGTGTTCCAACTGGAACATTTCAGTGCAAGTATCAAAGTGAAACTACAGCTAAATTCCTTCTCCTTTTGAGTTTTAACTGAAATCCCCTGATCCTAGACAGGTGGATTCGGGATTTTAGCAGAACCCATCTTCAGGCGCTAGGAGGAAAACCTCAGGTAACATTTTGCTTAGTCCCAGGAGAGCCTGCAGGTGACAAGACCAGCTGGCCGCAAATCCCGAGGGGCACTGCCCATCCAATCATCTTGTCGTGTCCCGTTCCCATGGCCAAAGTATCTGACGGTGAGGGTGTAGGGTAAATGGTTTACAGAATAGATTAGTGAAGGCTATAAAAATCAGGAGTGAGTAGCCTTTTATTAGGAACTGGGGTCATAGTCGCTCAGAGATCTTTGCTAACATACAGGCCGAGGAGAAGAATGCCTGAGCCTCTGGCAGCTGTCAGCCCAGCTGAAGACACACAGGAGAGCTAGCGGGGTCTGTGGACCTGACCGCAACCCCAGCTCGGACGTTCTAGCTCCACTGTCACGGGGACAACCAACTTGAGGGACCTCCATGTGTTTCCTTACTACTTTTACGCTCATTTTTAAATTTTATCCCGTCTTTCTGGGGGAGACCTATAGATTACAAAGTTAAATGGATCACTAGTGGTTGTGTACACGACCTAGGCTGTGTAAACCCCTAAGTCAGACTGTTTGATTGGCAACATTAGTTCTGGAAGCCAGTCATCTCACAGTTGAAAGAGCAGTCAGTTTATGTGCTGAAAAGGATCACAGGGTAAGATTGACAGGGTCAGAACTGGCTTCTACACTGACCTAGTAAATGCCTCAGTTGCCACTACCCTTTTGCTCTGAGCTTCACAGGAAAAGTATGAGCCATTTAGGCTCTGGAGGTCATCAAATAAGATCGTAATTTAGCCATGATTCTCATGGATATATATTTCACAAACAGCTTCCAATGTTTTTTTTTAAATTCAGCTACAGAAGAAATGCTGATTTTAATGTTTATAAGAAATCAAATGTTTGATGAGGTTCATTTTTAAATGAACCTTAGTTTTCCATTAAAATGGTATGCTTTTCCTCCCCCAAAGAAGATAATCCATCCTCTTGCGTCTATTTTGTTCTGAAAACAAGCAGCTGACTTAGAAGACCCCTGGGAATTGAAAGAATATATACACCCTCCAGTTCAGTGGTCCCCAACCTTTTTGGCACCAGGGATCAGTTTCATGGAAGACAATTTTTCCATGCACGGGGTGTGGGGGGGGCTGGTTTTAGGATGATTCAAGTGCATGACATTTATCATGTACTTTATTTCTATTATTATTATATTGTAACATACAACGAAATAATTCTACAACTCACCATCATGTAGAATCAGTGGGAACCCTGAGCTTGTTTTCCTGCAACTAGCAGTCCCGTCTGAGAGTGATGAGAGAAAGTGACAGATCATCGGGCATGAGATTCTCATAAGGAGCGGAAGCCTGGATCTCTCGCATACGCAGTTCACAATAGGGTTGGCGCTCCCAGGAGAATCGAATGCCCCCTGCTGATCTGACAGGAGGTGGAGCTCTGGCGGTAACTCGAGTGGTGGGGAGCAGCTGCAAATACAGATGAAGCTTCTCTCTCACTCACTGCTCACCTCCTCTGTGCGGCCCGGTTCCTAACAGGTCACAGATTGGTACCAGTCTGTGGCCCAAGGACTGGGGACCCCTGTTCTAATGTACTGCAGTCTTCCTTTAGACTTAACCCTAGTGGCGATTCTTTAACAACCTGGATCTGCTCTCTTGACTGGGACATGTGCTCGCTTGCTAGCCAACACACAGTCAACTCAGCTACTACCATATAGAATTGGCCTTAGGATTCACTGCAGATCCAAACGTGACAGAACGAAGAACACAAGTCCATAAATGCTCACCTACGGTTGCAGAGAGATTTGAGTAGGCAGAGTCATTGGAATACACAAAGGTGGAATTACGGAAGGGAAGCACAGTGAGCTCGCGGGCTCGGGACGCTGGGTAGAACACAAAGAGAAAAAGCACAGCACGTGAGTGAGACAAAAGACGAACGGGACCAACATATCTCTCAACCTGCAGCGGGAGGGGCTCTTTCATCCAAGAGCACGCTGGACTTTCTGTTTGGACCTCACGTCCCCCACCCACGCTGTTTACTTCAGTCAGCAGCTCGGCCACTCCAGTGGCCCCGCTCAGTTCCCACGCCAGGGCGTGATGGCTGCTGAATCTGGCCGCAAGCAATAGTTGTAATTTTCTGGCTCCAACACCTATGCGGATACTTAGTTGAGAGATATGAAACTGAACTTGGCCACTTATAACACAGGCTCAACGAAAGGATGAATGGTTACAATGTCACAAGAACCAATGAGACAGATACTCTGCATGAAAATGACTGCGTGAGATAATGACATGTGGACAGAACAACGGAGAATTCAGCAACAAACGACAAAGCTGCATGTCCTCAAAAGGCTTGCCAAAGCCATTCACCTGTCCCCAGCAGCAAAATGTGCTGATGGAGTCTATTCTTTTCTTTTTTCCCTTAAGAAGCCAGCAATCAAATTGAAATATGCCAGCATAGCATTACAACCTAGAGAATGCCTCCAGGAGGGATGTGCAGAGAAACCTTCACCATTGCAGTGTCCAGGACAAACACTGATATATTAGGGCTTTGCTGGAAGTCAGTACCTTCAGGGAACGAAATTCAGCCACAGTGCGTAACTGCATCTGTGTAATTGTATCCCCTCGAGAGAAGAATTTTTCACAGGTAAAGGTTTCAAAGCACCGAGAGTTACTGATTTAAGCCACTACAATGAATTCAGGTATAGGGGTGAAGAGAGAAAGACATGGATAGTTATTCCCACTCTTGTTTGAAACAACTCCTAGCATTTTAGTTGCTGGGTCCTGAAACAGGGAGCTGTTTCAAGAATGCATTACCACTGGATGGAACGACCTCCTTTCCACAGCTTTAAAATAAAGGGCTTGAGGAAAGAAAACTAGATGCCAACAAGAGAACATGGTTTGTCTGAACCCGAGCCAGTCGTGAAACAAACTCGCACAGGGGCTTTTTCAGCCCTGCCAGGCCAACCATTTGGAAAAGACAACTGGCTCTAGGGTGGTTTCCAATTGTGGCCATATTGCTGCCCTACAAGCAGGCAGATGAGAGCGATGTGGGCGGGGAGCTCGTGGCACCATGCAAGTGCCCTTCACGGAGCACGCTCTCCTCAACTGTGAGATCAGCAGCAGCAGAGGCAGCACTGATGCTTCTCAATTTGCAAATTTTAAGGAAACATTTCAGAAGCTTTAGCAGTGATGTCCAGCAACATGTTAAATTACGGGAGTAAGGAAAATGCCAGTGTGCTGGTATGGAAAGCACAGTCACTGGCAATATACAACTTTAAAAATAAAATGCCTCCCACAGAACCAGAACAGGAGGGATTGAAGCTGGTGCTAGGACTGTTGTACAGTAAACCCTCTCCAGATACCTCACCCATCTGACACAATCAAGAGCAATCAGTAAATAACAATAAAAATGGAAAAGCGCCCTAAGTCATACAAGGTTACAGTTTTTTGTTTTGGTTTGGTTTTTTGTGACGGAGTTTCGCTCTCGTTGCCCTGGCTGGAGTGCAATGGTGCAATCTCGGCTCACTGCAACCTCCACCACCTGAGTTCCATCAATTCTCCTCCCTCAGCCTCCCAAGCAGCTGGGATTACAGGCATGCACCACCACACCCAGCTAATTTTTGTATTTTTAGTAGAGACGGGGTTTCTCCATGTTGATCAGGCTGATCTTAAACTCCCAACCTCAGGTGATCCACCTGTCTTGGCCTCCCAAAGTGCTGGGATTACAGGCATGAGCTACTGAGCCTGGCTCAACAGTTCTTAAAAAGTCCTTATTAGAAAGGGGAAAAAAAATACCCAGGAAGATGTGAGGTTTCTCCTACCAGCAAATGTTGGAATTAACTCAAACAGAGACTTTTTGAAATTGGGTCTCACTGGAAACATCTTAGGCAATGCTTAATCTTTTCAAATGGAGCTGATGTGTGGAGAAGCTGATTGGTAGGTGGAGGTGCATTTGCTGAATGAAACAGGGGCCCTTCAAATATGTGAGTTGGTCTTAGTTGGCATGACCTCAGACATCTGCTTCAAACAGGCCCCTGGCCAGCCTGCAGATGACACCAGTCCTTCCACCTAGAAGAGAGACATCTGGACCCGGACGCAGAGGTACCCTCACAGCAGCTTCTGTTTCGAGGTTGTTGCGGAAAATGCACATTTTAACTGTATTTTGAATCAGAAACTCTGCTACTCAATATGTAATAGCTCTCTCTATAAAAGTTCTAGTAAAATACTTTGTGGCCTGGCACAGTGACTCACGCCTGTCATTCCAGCACTTTGAGAGGCCAAGGCAAGAGGACTGCTGAGGCCAGGTGCTTGGGACCAGCCTGGAAACACAGCAAGACCCCATCTCTACAAAAAATAAAAGCTTTGAAATAATTATAACGGGAAGTTATACAAGTATTTGTTCATCTCTATTGCCCTGGCTTCAAAGCTGATTCTGTTCACATCTGCTCCCCTGATGACCCTGGGATTCCTGGGCCCACAGCCACTCTTACCACCCATGTCCCCCAATGGCCCTGGGATCCCCGGGCCCAGCCGCTCTCAGCACCTGTGTCCCCATGGCCCTGGGATTCCCAGGTCCACAACCACTCTCAGCACCTGTATCTCTACCTCCAGTTGTGTCCTGAAGTTCATGGATTCCATCCACATTCTCCAGTGGCCAGTAATGGGAAGCAGATGCCAAGACCTGAAATCCTTGGGGAAAAAAGAAAAAAAGTTTTAAATCATCATTAGGGAGGAAAGAACTACAGGATTAGAACTGCTCAGCATATGCACTGTGGGGGAATAGTAAAAGGATCACTCGGGCTATGGGAGATACTGAAAGCATGTTTAATAATTCAATACATACTATTGGTTAAAAAAAGAAACTCTTTAATCAGAAGATGGCAAACAGTTCCTTAACTGGACAAAACAGGGTAACAGGAACAGATGCCTCTTACTGCATGAAAACAGAAGCCACTGTGCTCACTGGTGACACACCAGAGGCATGCCCATTCGTGTCAGGAAAAAGATAAGAATGTTCCATAACCTACTCTAATTTACCACTGTATTAGAGTTAATATCTAATTGTAATCACACAATAGAATACAGGTAAAAATCATTTTGAAAGAGGAAAAAACTAACATCAATAGTATGCCAGACACTGAAGTACTTAACACTTCCTCATTTCATTCTAACAATAATTTATAAGAGAATTGAATTATTGGCCTATTTGTAAAGACAAGAAATGAAAGTCTTGCACAAAATCACACCACCAGTTCGCTGTAGATGCAATACTCACAGACAAGACTTTGAGTGTGATCCTGTCATTTTATTTTCCCGCCACGCTTCCTTCACACTAAGCATTACTCAGTTTGAAATTTCCTCCATGATCATTGTACTGTGAGTCAACATAACTTTATGCAGGTATATTATTTTCTCATCGCTCTTCTCACTGAATGCTGTATGAATTATTGCTTTGTTTCTAGCTAGCCCCATAATGAAGTTTGGGTGACGATCTCTTGAGTGGCTACACCGAGACAGGTCTGACCATTCCCCTGCTATTGAACAACCAGCAGTCTCCCTTCCTTACTCGCCCAGGTGGTGCCGGCCTGAGCGGCTTTATGCACACAATTTTAGTCTTCTCTTGGATTAGTCCTTCATGATTCATTCCCAGAAGTGGAAATAATGGTCCAGATGACTACATAATAATCAACTGCCCCAAATGACTGCTGAATCACAGAAAAGTACAAACTAATAATCTTTGTGTTATTCCTTGTTCTAAAAGAAACTTTTTAAAGAAGAGATAATAAGATCATTATTTTCAAATGATGTATGCCTGATAACCAAAGTAGAAAACTATTACAAATAAGAAAAGAATTTAGTAAGTGAAAAACTATTACAAACAATAAAATAATTTAGCAAGAAGGCTTACACAGATTTAATATACAAATGTCAATTGCCTTCCTGTATTCCAACAATAATGCTACCAAAAAAGTTCTCACTTATAAATGCAGCCAACAAAAAGAAAATGTTTACAAACACAAGAATAAGAATTGTACAAGATTTTTACAAAGAAAACAAAAAATAATTTTGAGGGATGTGAAAGAACCCTTGAATGCATGAAGGATTCAACCTATTCATGGAAAAGCCAACTCAATGTCATAAACTGTACTTGAATCTATGAGTATTAGGAAATTTGTTGTAAAAATACTGAGAGAATTTTTGTGGGAGAGTTATCTATTACAGAGTTTATATAAAAAGAAAATCTGGAGAAGAAACAGAAGACAATAAAGAGAGGGGATGAGCACTCACAACGCTAAGTCACAGCGTAAAACTACAACAGTAAAGACGGCTCAAAGTTACACACGGACAGACAGTTCGGAGGGAGAATGGTCCACAAAGACACCAAGTACATACGGAAATGTAGTTTGCGATAAAGGTAGTTGTTTTTTTTTGTTGTTGTTGTTGTTGTTGTTTTTGAGACAGGGTTTTGCTGTTGTTGCCCAGGCTAGAGTGCAGTGGCACGATTTCTGCTCACTGCAACCTCCGCCTCCTGGGTTCAAGCGATTCTCCTGACTCCGTCTCCCAAGTAGATGGGATTACAGGCAACCACCACCACGTCTGGATAATTTTCGCATTTTTAGTAGAGATGGTTTCACCATGCTGGCCAGACTGGTCTCAAACTCCTGACCTCAGATGATCCACCCACCTTGGCCTCCCAAAGTGCTGGTATTACAGGCGTGAGCCAATGCACCTGGCCCCAGAGGTGGTCTTTTAAATTAGAGGAGAAATATTATTCCACAAAGGCACTGGAACCAGTTCACCACCTGGAAAAAATTAAGATCCTAACCTCACTCTTCATACTAGAACAATCTGCAAATAGATCAAAATTTACATGTAATAAAATCAAACACAAAAGCTTCTGCAGAAAACAGGCTATACTTTTATTTGACAACATACCTTTTTAAATTTTCTATGCAGAAAAAAAAATCAAGCAAAATCAAACCTAGAAGTGATGTTTATATAATACATATTACCGAAGTGTACTGATTCTTTTTAGACGTATTAAATGTATTATATTCGTAAAAATCCTACTATTAAAAAGGACTCACAGAATATTGAGGCAAAGGAGATAATCAACTAGTTTAATGCAAAAGAAATACAAATTATGTATAAATATATTAAATGATGCCCCACCTTGTTCATAACTTTAAAAATATATTAAACAACCATGAGCCTATCAGAGTTCACCCATCAGACTGGCAAGCAGAAAGCTGGCTATATTAAGCTGGCAGGTTCCTGATGGGAGTTGAAACCAGTACACCCTTTCTGAAGGGTAATTCGGCAATATCGCTCCCAATTTTAACTGTACATTCTCTTAGATCTAGTAATTCCACTCCTAGGAATTTATTCTAGAGATATACTCATACATATGATCAAAGACCTCTATGCAAGGCTTGTTTGTTGCAGAATTTTTTAATAGTATCAGAAACCTGAGAACAGCCTAAATGCTCATTTACAGAGCAGCTGCTAAATATGGCACATCCACACATTGGCCTGGAGTACCACTGGGACGAATTCAAAGGTTCATAAATGCACTGAAATGGCATGTCCTTTAATTCATATTGTTTAGTTTTTAAAAATTAAAGTGAGAAAAATGTGCATACTACGAGCTATTTGTGTAAAATACAATTGGTTTAGGGCAAGGATAGAAAAGGAGAGAAGGATGTGTGGATAGATATCCCAGAAACCCATATTGGTATCTGGAGAGTGAAAAAATGGAAAAACTGAGTGCAAGGTGTAAGAATATTTATATTAATTATCTTTTTGTTCTATTTGAATTTTTCAATCTGTATTCCTTTAGAAATATTTTAAGAGTTGCTTTCACAACTGAAGTGCCATAGGTAGTTAGGAGCATAGCACATTTTCACATCAGAACTGACACACTCCATCTAATATGTGAATTTTTGTCCACAGGGTGCCAAAATCTGCACACGTCCAGATCACTGGTTCCACTTTTCAGTTTGCATCTGTCCCTTCAGTTTTACGTACACAAGTTCAAAAGGTAAGCCAAGAACAAAGTTAACTTTGTAATATGAGCTAAAGAGAAGTATCTCGACAATAACTTAAGTGCCTTGTTACTATCTAAATAAAGTAACTCTATCTAAATCAAGTAGCATGTTAGAAAGTAACGCCTGACTTCAGTTGATTTCCAGTGGGGACAGTGCTAAACTATTAAGATACAATATTAAGAATCTGAAATGCAAAAATCAAAAATATTCCTTTTCACTCCTACTATGCTTTTTTCCCGTAAAATCTAGTATATTCATTCCATGAAGAGGAGGAAACCTCACTGCCTTGTTATTCAAGTCATCTGAGAAAAAAAAAAATTGTAAAAGGAAATAACATCTGTTATACAAAGAACAGATGTGAGTTCAGAATCCTGTCTTTATAAAATAACCCTGAGGACAATAAATCCCTTCTTACTCTTTCCATTTATAAATGGCCACAATGAGTCCTGGCAGAAAGGCTGACAGAGTAAAGTGATATGTGTCTCAGTCACTCTAAAGCCAGCCAGGGTTCATAGGTGGCCAGTGATGAGAAGAGGGGGTCTGAGGTCAGAACACTGCCTCCGCTCCACACCTGCGCACTTCAGACAAGTGTAAAACACCTCAATTGTCACAGATGTTTTGCAACCAGCAACACTGACTGCAAACAGTATTAAAGGGGCTGCAAGCTGTAACACCCACAGGGGCCGGTGAGTCTGGCCAGTGAGTACAGAGGAGTGATCTGGACAGAGTCCAGGGATGGTATCCAAGGAAGTTAACAACCCCAAGACACAGGCCAGACTCATCAGAGCAGATGCTGGAAACCATCAGCTGGCACCACTGGAGTCGCAGGGCAGGAGAGGCTGCGGCACAACGGAAACCGTGCCCTGTCTAATGAAGTAGTGTTTCCCGATGCCAAAGCATTGCGGCTCTACAGGAAGCTTTGCCCAGAATTGTCAGGTCTTCATTTTTGAAGAGGAGTCAGAAATACAGACATTCTAATGCAAAAATCTATCAAAATTTTAATGTTAGCAATTTTTTAAAATAAAACATCGTGTGGTACTAATGGGATGGGCTGAATTCAGCCCACAGGTTCCCTTTTAGAACTCAAGGAGTAAAATAACTCGTAGTCCGGCAAGTTTCATCAGAGCAAGAACGTCTCGTTCTTTCGGGAAAAGGCCATCTGTGGCACATTTCCCGTCGAGAAGGTGGCGTGAGGCCGTCTAGCTCTGCACCCACCTTGGTTTTCACCAAACTCTTCTCAAGACTAAACGTACTTCTTAGGCAAATGGGCTAGCTAAGCAAAAACATGGCCCATTTGCCTGGAAAACAAATAGCAGGAGGCAGAGACAGAGAGAAAATGGGAGGGTGGCGAGGAAGACAGAGAAAGAACAAGGGAGAGAAAGAGGAAGGGGCAGAGAGAATAAGGGTGTTTTCAGCCCACATCACCTCAGTTCTTCAGAATTAATTTCTCATCCATATGTAAAGTTTTATTAAGTTTGCAGTGTGTGTGTGTGCATGCGTGCGTGTGTGTGACAGAGATCTAAGAGAAAGATGAGAGACAGAAGTTTCAATACTCAAAAAAGTTAATGAACCCTTTAATGTTTCCATTTTTCTTCCAGATTTCCCTTTTCTTCTCCCTTCCCAGTTACGTGTTCCTTGTGG